CAAATGCGCCGGGGCCAGGGGCTTGGTGTCAGCCGCAGGACCTTCATTTCGGAAACATGTTTGGCCTCGCTCAGCGGCTGCGCCCACTGAAAGAGACGTGCCGGGCCGCAATGCTCAGAATGCATACTTGGGAAGCCCATCGAGACGGAGGCATCCCATGGGAACGACTACAGTCGGAATTGCAGGAGCGTGTCTCCTACACGGACTTCTTGGTTCGGGCGGCCAGATGGCAAGCGTGGTACCAGATGTACATGCCAACGGTGGTGCTGAAGGCGGTCTCAGAAGCAGCGGCTGTCGGAGCGACGGCGGCGCGCCTCAGGGTAGCCCTTACCGGCGCGCGAACTGGACCCCTTACCACAGCGATGATGACGAAGCAAGAAGGGCACGCAGCGCTGGTTTGTCCAAGAGCTACTTCAACAACGAGGCTTCGACCCAGCGTGGCGGCTGCGCCGACGGATGGAGAGATGGCGACTACCAGGGCTACCCGGCAGGAGCTCCAGGACCACCCTCAATAATTTGGAGCAGTTACGCCGTCTCGCCCCTCCGCGAGTCCGCGCTGCAGAATTCAGCACCTTATTCAATAGGTGGGTCACCGATGGGCACATGCGGACCCTGCGGGCGAGGAGGAGGAGGAGCTGTGTACTTGGTTGTTCGCCCCAGGCAGACGACTCGATTGAACACTATATGCATTGCCCTGTTGTTCGAGATTGGGCGCGCGCGAGGCTGCGAACCAGCGGCGGCCCCAGTTCTCCGTTGGAGCGATGGATGTTGGCTACACCATTGGAGGACAACGAGCTCCGGCTGGTTGCCGCGACGATCTACGTAGCATATCGTACCACAAACCACATGCGACGCACCAGAGGGGGCTTCGGGAGATTACGTGCGCCAGTTCATGAACCAGATGCTATACGAAGCCGTCCGCGACGATTCTGGGCTCCGGGCATGCTGCCGAGGAGCGGCGCCCCATCCGCCAAGCCGACGCCGGCGGCTCGCCTAAGGCGCTGTGCAGGACGATGAGGTGCAGCAGCACGATCTGCCTCCCGACGCTAGTCCCCATCTGTCCGGTCCCAGCATCCTCTCCGACCCCAGCCCTCTCTTGCCGACTCCTGCTTCGTTCTCGTCTCTCCGACGCCGGCTCCCTCCCCTCCAACTCCGGCTCCCGACTCTACGACTCCAGCGCCCGTCGTATCTCCGAGTCTGACTCCGACCGCCAGGACTTCGACGAGTACTGGCGCCAGCACCCTTCACCAGCACCGTCACCAGCACTGACGTCAGCACCAGCGCCGGCGATTACGCTGCCATCACCGCCTGCGACTGAACCGACACCGACGCCAGCACCGACGCCGGCCCCAACGCCGGCGCCGTCGCCAGCGCCGACGCCAGCACCGACGCTAGCAGGAACGCCTGCGATGGCGCCGGCACCAACGTCAGCTCCTCCACCAACGCCGACGTCAACCCCTATGCCAGCAACAACGCTCGCACCAGCACTGACGCTGGCACCGAAGCCAGCACCGACGCCAGCACAGACGCCGGCGCTTATGCCACCGCTGACGCCAACATCGACGCCAATACGAATCCCTGCGAGTGCGCCAGCACCAACGCTGGCGCCTACACCAGCTCCGACGCCAGCACGGACGTCATCATGAATGCTGGCGCCTGGGCCAGCATCAACAGCAGGCGATGGCACGGGCACCAACACCAGCGCCTACACCATCGCTGACGCCAGCACGGACGTCAGCATGAACGCCAGCGCCTGCGTCGGCACCAACGCCAGCGCCTAGACGAGCACCGATGTGCAGGGCGGGGCGACAGCGTCTTCGTCTCCGACTCTGGCTCCTATCCCCACGAATCCGGCTCCGACTCCGGCACCAGGTACGACAGACGACAGCGTCTCCGTCTCCGTGTCTGCCTCCTATCCCTGCGACACCAGCTCCGACTCCAGCGCCAGGTCCGAACGACCACCAGACAACAGCGAGCAGGGCCAGTCGCTAAAGCGACGCCCCGCCCCGCATCTTACAGAGAACTTGGGGCCGAATTTCGTGACATTTTCGTTGCGTTGCCTTTCTTCGCATCTGGCCATACATCGAGGAGGGGATGGAGAGAATGCGCCAAACATCAGTGTGGCATTCAGTCAAGACGTGTGGCCGAACGGAGGCGGACAAATCCTGCCCCCCCTCAAACGATCTTCAACAGCATCGATGCCAACACCGACTCCACAGCATCGATGCCAACGCCGAGAACGACAGTTCCTCCCCGAGCTACCAGTACATCTGTATCGGCGTCGACGCCAGCACCGACGCCAGCACAGACGCCGACGCCAGCACCGACGCCAGCACGAACGCCGGCGCCTGCGTCGGCACCAACGGCAGCGCCTACACCAGCTCCGGTCTCACCGCAGACGCCAGCGTCAACGCCGACGCCTACAGCCGCACCGCCGCCAGCACGGATGCCAGCATGTACGCCTGGGATGGCGCCCGCACCAACGCCAGCGCCGACGCCAGCACCGACTCCAACACGAACGCCGGCGCCTGCGCCGGCGCCAACGCCAGTGCTTGCATCAGCACCGATGTCATCACCGACTCCAGCACTAATGCCGACGCCTACATCAGCAGCGACGCCAGCACCGACGCCAGCATGAACGCCTGCGATGGCGGCGGCACCAACGCCAGCGCAGACGCCAGCACTGTCGCCAGCACGAACGGTGGCGCCAACGCCAGCGCCTACACCAGGCCCGTTGCCATCACCGACGCCACCACCAACGCCAACGCCGTCACCAGCACCGACGCCAGCACCGACGCCAGTACAGACACCGGCACCTACGCCAGCACCGACAGCATCATCGACGCCAGCATGAACGCCTTCGATTGCGCCGGTACCAACGCCAGCGCCTACACCAGCGCCGACGCCAGCAGTGAGCCGTGCACCGAGCCTCTGAGCCGCATCGTTGCTATGATATTCCAGTGTGCGCAATTTTCCAGTGTCTCCTCTCTGGCTCTCTCTCTCTCTCTCTCTCTTGCCCTCCTTCTCCGTGTGTTCTGTTCGTTGTTTAATGAATTGGGGGCGTGGGGCCCATCGAATGCAAGGGTCGGACTGCCGCTCGGCCGCGTGCGTCCAACCCCAGCCACCGCGCTGGGCTTGCTCTCTCGCCGCCTTTGGCAGGTCCGCGCGTGGCCCTAGGCGGCCACGCTGGAACACAACATATACTGTTTGCTCTGCTTGTCTTATTTTCCTGGTACTGTGCCATTTTCTTCTGCCCCTTCTTCTTATAGACTGCCCGGTGTTTGTTGCGTGGGGCACGGCCCCTCCTGCTGACGAGCGTTTCTTGCGTTATTTAGTTTTCATTGGTTTGCGAGGCGGTGGCATAGTCCATGGCGCTGTGCGCACACAGGCATCGGAACTGGCTCGTGGCCTGGTCAGCCCTCTTCCCATCCTCGTCTCCTCCTCCTCCCATCCTCGTCTCCTCCTCGTTCCTATCGCTTGCTGCTTCGTTTCAAGGCCCATTTGATTACTCTGCGCACGGACGACGTGTGCGAGTGGGCGGCCGCCTTTCGCTACTCCGTCTCACGCTGCGGCGCAGCCCCGCTGTGGTGATATGCAGTCATTGAGGTTGGAGGCACTCATCATTGGTGTTGTCGAGAAAAAACCTTCCCCTGCCCCCTCTTTCCACTTCCTCATTTCCACATTTGCGAGGCCCTCCTTCTCTCCTTCGTCCTGTCCTCCGCCGCGACGTGTCAGGCAGTACGGGCCTGCGGCAGGCCCGATGACCAGCCACCTCGCCTCGAGCGGAGGGGGACGAGGAGGGGGAGGAGGGGGAGGAGGAGGAGGAGGAGGAGGAGGAGGAGGAGGAGGAGGAGGAGCAGGAGCAGGAGGAGGGGGAGGACGAGGAAGGGGGAGGATGAGGAGGAGGAGGAGGAGGAGGAAGAGGAGGAGGAGGAGGAGGTGGAGACTAGCCCCCATCCTTCTTTCCCCGCCTCTCCGCCTTCAGACCAGCGCTCGGAGCTGCGCGCTGCAGAGACGTCTCGCTCTCTCTCTCTCTCTCTCGCTCTCTCTCTCTCTCTGTCGCGCCACGCGCGCGGCACGCCACTGTGCGAATGGCCTGGGCAAGCACCGCGCGTCGCCGTCGCCGTGCCAGCACACCTTGTGCATCCCGTCCCTCTGTGCTCTGCAGGTGTCACTTTCTTCTGCATCCATCTTGTTCCTCTTTCTGAGCGGAGCCTGCGACGTCCAAGGGCCGCGCTTGTCGGAGGGGCGCAGCACCAGCCAGGGCGGGAGCTCCCACGGAGCGTGGACTGCACGGGGCTACCTGTCCAGAGCTGCCTGCGTCAAGGCCTGCCACCCTGCCAGCCCAGCGCTCCGGTTGGCGACTGTTCGCGCGCAGGGGAAGCCGTAAAGTGTGTCACCTCGTCTCCCAAGATGGGGACAGCCGTAACGAGTGACGCTTTTCCACGTCGTGTCGGGTTATCTCTCCTCGTGTTTGTTATCTCCCTTTTGTCTTCCCTCTCTGCCTCTTTTGGGCCTCTTGGGGGCCTCTCGGGGCCTCTTGGGGACTCCTCGGGCAGTCTTGGGGGTTAGGCAGTCTGGCGCCTTCGGAGTCCGTCCTGTGTGCCTCTCTGGGCCATCTCGGGGCATTCTCGGGGCCCCGAAGGGTCGTCTTGGGGGTCTCTTGGGCTGGGGTGGCGCAAAGAATCCCTTCCAGGCAGCACTTGACATTCTACCACGCCTCAACGTGCCAGGGGGCACGGTGGCGGATCTATCCTTGATCCCATCAGAGGTGAGAGAGCTCGGCAGAACCATGTCACTTTCTTCCCGAGGTAGGCTCGAGTTGCTCCAAGTTTTTGGTGTGTGTGTGTGTGTGAATCTCCATCAACGTGTCAGCTCACGGTTAGCTCTTGGTGCTTCCCGTACTGCGTCTTGTGGAGGTTCTCGCCGCTCCTGCAGCCCAGCGCCTGACATGCCCCGAACCATGTCCCTGCTCCTCTTGCGAGCACCCCTGGCAAAAGGACACCGACAAGTTCGTGCACTATTTCATCAAAATGTGTGCGCGGCCGATTCCCCGAGCGCGTGGGGTGCTCGCGCGCCAGGGTTCGCGGGATGCCGGGCGCTCGCACTGGCCTTGGAGGACCAGGATCGGGGAAACGTAAGACTCGAGTTCGCCGGAGCCGTGTTCGCCGACGCTTTTTGACGAGCAGCGGGGATCAGATCAAGTTTAAGACTTTTCTTCGTCGTTTTCCTGACGGCCCCGTCAGGCCAACCAGAGTCCCCAGAACCCGAGTCTTACGTCTCCCAGAGGAGGAGGATGACGAGGAGGAGGAGGAGGAGGAGGAGGAGGAGGAGGAGGAGGAGGAGGAGGATGGAGCGTGTTTCCTTCTTGCTTGGGGCATGACGGGCGTCATAGCCCCCGCACCCTCCCCCCCTTATGACGGAACGCTCCCACCCCAGTGCGCTCATCCGCATAGGTGTCCGCATAGGAACTCGCACAGGAGTCTGGTCCGCAGTGGTGGTGGTTGTGGTCGTCGTCGTCGTCGTCGCGCTCGTCGCTCGTCGCTCGTCGCTCGTCGCTCGTCGCTCATCGTCGTCGTGCGCGCGGACGCGGCTGGAGCCTGTTTTTTTATTCCGGGCCGATGACGGCAATCATTTGGGGGGGGTGGGGATGGAGGGGGCTGATGACGTCACGTTTCGCGCCGGCGGCGTCTGGGAATACCTAGGAATGACCGAGGACGGGTAGCAGCAGCGCGTGGGTGGCGATCTGCGCCACAGCGCTTGTGTACACAGTGCTCGCGTGCACCACAGCACCTGTGTACACCACACCGCCCATGTACACCACAGCAGCCGCGTGCAACACAGCGACAGTGTGTGCCACAGTGCCTGCAGGCACCACAGCGCTTGTGTACACCATAGCGCTGCGTGCACCACATCAGCCGTGTGCAACACAGCACCAGTGTATACCACAATGCCTGCGTGCACTACAGCGCATTTGTACACCACTGCGCCTATGTGCACTGCAGCAACCGTGTTCAACAGAGCACCACTGTTGCATATATAGTATGACAAGGAATCCTTATGTCAGAATGGAGCGCTTCTGTATTCAACATAATACAATTGCTTATATAGGATTTGGAAAGGAATCCTTATGGAAAAAGGATCGTCGCTGGAATCTACGAGTCCTCCCGAATCCGCCCGCATACTCGTAACTCCTCCCATGTGCGTCCAGGAGGCTTCAGCAAAGTTGTCCGTCCGAGACCCAATTGGACTGATTCGGTCGACCATTCCTTCTGCGCTGCACGTTGTGATGCGCACGTGCGCTGTGGCGCCGACCCGCACGACAGGGGGGACGGGCGAGGGAGGAGGAGGAGGAAGAGGAGGAGGAGGAGGAGGAAGAGGAGGAGCAGGAGGAGGAGGAGTAAGAGGTGGAGGAGGAGAAGGAGGAGGCGGAGGAGGAGAAGGAGGAGGCGGAGGAGAAGGAGCAGGTGGAGGTGGGGGAGGAGGGAGGAGCGAAGAACGTCGCATTCAATTATTTGCACTTCCCTGGCGGGTGTTTAGCTATCCGCAGCAGATCCTCACCTACATGCTCCTTCTACTTGTCTTGTGCACGCAGGCGCTGTGGTGTACACCAGCGCTGCGTTGCACGCTGTTTTAGACGGGCGTTGTGGTGTGCACAGGAGTTGCAGTGTACGCAAACATTGTGGTGTACCGAGGTGCCGTGTTGCACATGGCTGCTGTGCTGTACACATTCGCTGTGGTGTACACAAGCGTTGTGGTGCACGCAAGCAGTGTGGTGTGCACAGGGTTTGCGTCACACATGGCTGTTGCGGTGTACGCAGGGGCTGTGGTGTACACGCGCGTTGTGGTGCACGCGAGCACTGTGGTGTACATAAGCGCTGTGGGGCAGATCGCAACCTACATGCTGCTCGCGTCCTCGTCGTCGTCGTCGTCGCTCGTCGTTCGTCGCTCGTCGCTCGTCGCTCATCGTCGTCGTGCGCGCAGGCGCGGCGGTGGTGCCAGAACCACACGGTGGGGGAGAGCGTTACGTCATAGCCCCCCCCCGCCCCCCCCATGACGCCCGTCATCGCCGAGAATGAAGGCACGCGCTCATGTGGAGGAGGAGGCGCAGGAGGCGGAGATGGAAGCGGAGGAGGAGGAGGAAGAGGAGGAGGAGGAAGAGGAGGAGGAGGAGAAGGAGGAAGAGCAGAGGAGGGGGATAAGACGGCGGGGGAGGAGGAGGAGGGACAGGGGCCTCACTCCCGTGCGGAGAGATCAGCCCTCATCGTAAAGCCGCAACGGGGGATGAGGAGCAGCATCAAAAGGAGAACGAGCTAGAGAGAGGGAGTAGGTGGACGAGATTGAGAGGAAGACGAGGAGGACGATGAGAATGAGAAGGAGGAAGACGAGGAGGAGGAGTACAGGAGGGGGAGGAGGCGGAGGAGCATGAAGAGGAGGAGGAGGCGGAGGATGAGGAGGATGAGGAGGAGGAGGTGGAAGAGGAGGTTGAGGTGGAAGAGAAGGAGGAGGCGGAGGAGGCGGGAAAGGAGGACGAGATAGAGAGGAGGAGGTACTGCGGAGGAGGAGGAGTTGGAGGAGGAGGAGGAGGAGGAGGAGGCTGAAGATGAGGAGGAGGACCAGGGGGACGAGGAATCTGGGAGATGCTTGGAGCGTCTTCGTGTCGGAGCCCGGGCTCGAGTGGGTAGAGGTGTTTCAGATTCCTGGAAAGCTTGCGCGTCCATATTTGGGGCGCGCTGGGAGTGTGAAGGTGGGGATGCACACGCTCGCCGAGCCCGCGCCTGTCCCCTCTCCTGGGCTCTGCCCGCAGGCCGTCTGGTGGAGGTCCAGGGCCCGGTTGCTCGAATCCCTGGTGAAGCCCATGACGGTTGGCCAGACCCTGCAGGCGCATAGTACGATTCGGAAGCCCCAGGCCTCGTCGGACATCCCGAACTCGGACCTTGCGGTGGCACTCTTGGGAGCTCTGGATCTTTGTAAGAAGCTAGGTCACGCCGTCTGCGACCTTTTCGCGTCTTTGGCTCACGAGCACGCTGACAGACTGCACAAGCAGGCCGCCCAGGCGAAGATCGTCAGCTGGGACCGATGGGTTAAATCGCACACCGTCGGAGGAGCTGTCGCGATTTTTAAGTCTGTGCAGTTGCCTGAAGCCTGGCAGCCCTCCACTCTCGACTCCTTCACCCTCCGTCCCAACACCAGCATGAGGGACTAGAGGGAGATTGAGAAGGAGCGGTCCAGGTGGTGGCAGGTGGGAGAGAAGCAGCCAGGCTTAGATTGGCCCAGTGACCTGGGGCCCAGACCTCCCCCTCCCACCCTCGAAGAGCTCAAGAAAGTGATTTTGACTGTTCGGGTAGGCGCGGGTTGTGAATACGACCAGGTCCCGCCCAGGCTTCTGCTCACGTTGGCTGATGCCGCCCTCGAGCTGCTTTGCACGCTGATCGGGAACATCGAGGCGCAGGCCGCGTGGCCGTCCCTCAACAACATCGTTTTATCATGAAGCGCCTCGGATGCGTACGGCCTCTCGGACTGGACTGTCTCTGTCGTATCCAGAGTCGTCTTCGGAGATCGCAGATTTTCTGTTGACGAAAAGCTTATTCCACATACTTCTGATGGGCCACCGCGGGCAGCGCGCCGGGGACCCTCCTCCTTCTGTGCATTGCGGCCTTACTTTGCATACAGCGTGTCCCCTGTTGTCATTCCGCCGAAGCAGTCGACCTCTGCCCAGCTGCCGACGCAAAAGTGTGTGTGTGTGTGTATCCAGGCGGTTTGGGCCGAGTATGTTCAGTCCCAGAGGCTTTTGTCGGCGACCTTGCTGTTCGACTTTAAGAAGGCGTTCGAGCTCGTGACACATCACGATCTGCTGGAGTTTCCGCTTTGGCAGTTAAAGCTTTCGGTGGAGGTTTATCGTTCGCCTTGGCTCCTGGGCCTTCAAGGGACGGTTAGCGAGTACCTCACGGCCGAAACTACTATCATTCCAGGGTGTGGTTTCGCCACTGTGCTTTTACAGCTCATTTTGCTGGGGCCGCTGGGCGCCGTCCAGAGGCGGTGCCGTTATGTTGCTTTGTCGGTTGTCGTGGACGATTTCGGGCTGCGGCGTTCTGGAGAACGAGGCCGAATCACTGATGAAATAGCCGGTGATGGAGTGGCACTTCAGCATGAATTTCCGCGCTTCGGCCTGAGGATTGCTCAGGGCAAGAGCCGTTTGTTGGTTAGTGGCACCGCCCTCCGAGCTGACCTCACCTCCAGGCTGGTGTCGCTGATAGCTCAGGGTGTTTTGGCTTAGCGCAACACGGGTGTCGATTGCTCTTCTGGAATGCGTGCCTTGAGGGCCACTGGGCGTGAGCGTTTCAGGGTTGTCAAGACGAAGCTGAAACGACTTTGGCGTCTTCAATGGTGGACCGCCAGGCGGAGCACCATGGCGTTGATGTCTCGGGCTGCTCTGGAAACTTCTGTGGCTTTCGGGACCTCCGTTCAAGGCACCACCCTGAAGGAGCTTGATACTTTAATACAGCAGGCTGCAATTCCCTTCGACGCGAGGATCCGTGGCAAGATTCGCGCCCTTGCGCTCGTCTTGGCGCCGCAGCACCACTTCGACCCGATCTGGCGGGCCACCTTCGAGCCAGTCAAGGCTTTCTCTCACGTGCTTTGGTGCGGTACGGTGCCCAAGGATATACTTGCGCGTGGCCTCGAGCATGCGTGTGGTTGTCTGTCGGATTCGGTCGCAAGTGGCCGCGCGTCCGTAGTTTATTTCGAGCACTGCGCGCTGCTCTCCATCGTGTGGGGATCGTCGTCGAGCAAGCTCTTGTTTGGAGGTTTCCTGATGGCCGCGTGCTCAACCTGGAAAACATGTGTCCCAGGGTCTTGCTGGCTTGTATCGGGCACGCCGTCAGGGATAACTTGCAGGCATCGGAGCATCTGGAGTTTCCTGAGTTCTGTGGTGACTTCTGGGAGGCTCCCGTCAAGCACCCGTTCGGCACCAAAGGAAGGTTCGCCTGGCAGCAACGGGGTCACTTTCGGAGTGCCTGCATTGGAGCCCCATGGCCACACGACCGACAGTTTCAACAAGGTTGGGTAGACTCTCCAATGTGTCTAGCGTGCGAGCGTTCCCCTGGGACCTTCCACCACCGTCACACTGTGTATGAGGTCGCGCTAGAGGCCGTGGGAGAGTCTGTCCCAGCTGCCATACCGGGCTTCCCCCAGCATGTGGGCGCGAACGACCTGGTTAGGATGTTGCTTGAGCGGGCGCTGCCGCCGCTGCCCAAGCGGCCGCGCTGCTTGTTGGAGTACCCTAAGGACTTGGCTTTGTCGTCCACAGGAATCCTCGGGGCGTCACGGATGATGTGTATTTGGGTGGTTCGCTTTTGTTGGGTCATCTTGAACGGGGACAGGCGGCTTGGGCTGCGGCAGCCTTCGCCGCCGACAACATTGCCCGTGCTGCTGTCGCGGGCCTGCTCCCGCCGCCTTTCCAGGACATTGATGGGGCAGAATTGTTGGCGTTGCTAGCTGGCCTCATGCATGCGGTGCCGCCAGTTGTATTCCACTCGGGCCCGCAGTCCGTGCGGAAAGGGTGCGTGCTGAGAGGCCCTGAGGTCACTATTGATCCTTCTGCTGCTTGGGCGTGTCTTTGCAAGCAGGCCTGGCACAACGTCAATGATTGGGGTGCTGACCCGCCAGAGGTGAAGAAGGCAACGGCGCGCGTTGCGCACGCCATGGTGGAGGAGGGAGCCGCGAAGACCCGCGCCGAGAACCAGCGTCCGTACCCTCAGTTTGTGAAGCTGCTCTCTGTGCGGCGCAGCAGAATGGTCTCCTGCACGTCTCGACGGCTTGCTCGCGCTGGCGATGCAATTGCTTTCGCCGGCTCGCTGCACAGGCAGCGGGCTGCTCGGCCAGGCAGCGCTCACGATTGTGACGCCTCCTCCGCCAACTCTCGCTCAGAGGACCCCTAGTGCGCAGGAGCAGCTGCGTCTCTGGGTCTAAGAAGCGCGTTTTTGCCACGTTCTTGATCGGCGACGTTCAGTTTTTGTGTACTCAGTGTGCTGCCAGCACCTCCTCTCGCGTGGTGCATCTGGTATGTGAATGCAAGCGCGTTCTCAGCGAAAACAGGCGCCAGGTTTTGTTCCGCTTCCATGCTGGCGGATTCAAGTTCCAATGTCGGGCGCAGTCCATCGCTGGATTTTGCATGCTCTCGACCTTAGCTGGCTCAGTCTCAGCACCTCTGTCACAGCCTTGAGATGAGCTTTCTCTCATGTGTAACGATGAGGTGTCATGTGCCTTGTTTTTCGCTGTCGGTTCGACTTCGTCCTCTGTCGCGCTGACCGTGTGTGACTGGCTGAGGAGGTGGCGCAAGCGGAAAGGGCCCACTTGTAATTGGGTAGCGCCGCCCTCCAAAACGGCCTGCCCACTGGACGGGATCCGTTCGCTCTTGGTGCTGTGCCCAGGAGGAGGAGGAGGAGGAGGAGGAGCAAGAGGAGGAGGAGGAGGAGGAGGAGGACGAGGAGGATGATGAGGAGGAGCAGGAAACATAATGCAAACCCAGGATGCATCAGCGATGCTGAAAAACTTGCCCTCCAAGTCCCCTCCTCGCACCTCCCTGCACGCTTTCCTTTCCACTGCAAGAAGCGTCCCCTTGGAAGGCCAGCCGCTCAGCACAGGTTGGCCTGCCTGTTGGAACAGGGCACCGCTTTGAACAGGAACTGTCTTGCATCTTTCCGGCGCGTAATCGAGATTGCGAGAGGATCTGATGATACAGTTGAACAAGGTGTCCAGCGAAATGTACGCCCCCCATCAATTTAACGGATGCAGTGGGTCAACAAGTTTTCGATCAGCCTGGGTCTGAGGAGGAGGAGGACGAGGAGGAGGGAGGCCCATTAACATTGTTTTTTGGGACCCTCGTGGAGCGTTCTTAGGGCGCTCTTGGGCGAGGGCCGTCGTGGGGGCCTCTTGGGCCGTATTGGGGCTGAACCATCTTGAGGTCTCGAAGCCACATCGGAAGGGCAACGGCGAGAAGGCACAACTCATTGATTTTCCGTGGGTTATTGGGAAGGGTTTGGGCCTCTTGGGGAAGCCCCGAAGGCGTTCCGAGAGCACTTAGAGTCATCTTGTGGTCCACGTGGGGCTCCTTAGAGGCATGTTGGAAGCTGGCTTGAACCAGCTTCGGATATCTTGAGCCATCTTGGGGGCCACGTTGGAGCCATCCTGGGCAATCCAGAGCGCTGTGACCTTTCGTGAAACCAGGAAACAAGTACCTCAGGGAGTGGGGAGGGTGTTACCCCTCTCCGAAGAGAAGAGGGCTTTGCAAAAGGAAGTAAGAATTTTGTAGACCACCTGCGCCAAGAGGGCTTATGGGACTTTAGGCTCCAGGGTTACGATCGGTTTTAGGAAGTCTCCGGCGAAACTCCCAGCCTGCCCTGCCGATGCGCCTGGGGGTGACAGGGAAGTGTTAGTTATAGGGAAAGGGGATGGAGGAACACGGTGCGGACCCACCCCTGATTTACCCTCATCCTTCTTGTTCTCTCCATCCCTGCTCAAGCCTGTTTCTTCCGAATCCCCATGCCACTATGACGTATCCCCACCATCCCCACCAAAGTCTCCACCATCCCCCATCCACCCCGTCATTCTTTCCCCCTTGCCCCCAATCCTTGTTCCTTCTTCGTGCATGCGCCTACTCTGCCACGCTGCTGGCCGGTACCCCCTGCATTTGGGACCTTCCATCTTGCCTGTCCCTCCTCCTATTTTTTTGCGCATTTGTCTCGCATTGCATGTTTTTCAGACACGCCAGATTCCCGAGGCCACGGTCTCGCCCACCCGGTCTTGAGTAGGCCCGGACGCTGCCAGCAACGGTGTTCGCATCGCATCGCATCGCATCTTGCCTGTCGTGAAGCAATGCAAAGTCGACGTTTCCTCTCAGCATGGACGTTTTGGCCGCGACGTTGCAAGTCGTGCGGCAATGCTGAAACGGAGCACGCGTAGTGCACGAAACAGATGCACGTCGCTCTCGTCCCGGCGCCGTGCTACGTTTTCCTGACAATTGAGTTCCCGCTGGAATGCGAAGCACACTCCTCGCCCGGCAACTCGTCGGCAGCAGGGTCTCGCGCGAGAGCGGGCGAGGTGCAGCTCTTGCCCACAGCGCCTCGCAGGTGTCGCCCGAATGTGGCGCTGGCCAGATTGGTCAGGAGGGAACAAAACACACAGACACAATTAACCGTCGATTCCCAGGAAGATATGGAAAATATGGACAATGGGGGGGGAAGACAAAAACCCAGAAAATGTGGGAAAATATGGCAGCAGAGGCCCGGTCAAACCAAACGGTTGGCCCGTGAACGGGCGGGGCACGATGAAAAGCAGTGCGACCTGCATGCATGATGTGAAGGACGCGCACGACGAGTGAGCAAGCTTTGAGCACGACGGGAAAATATGGGGAATATTTTTATTTGTGTGTATCTATTTGTGTGTCCCAGGGCCCCTTCAGGTTGGGTGCGGCGTATACGCTTCACTCGCCCAGTCACTGGGAGCGTCGGCGCGCGCGCGCGGGCACACTTGTGGCCCTCGCCCAGGTTCCGTGTGCCGTCTTCGAGCGAGGGGTGGCGATCCCGCCGGGGTGCAGCGCACCTTTTTGTTCCGCACCGCGTCGCCAGGAGGCGGCAACGGGGCAGCTCGCGAGGGGGGGAATTTTGTTTCTCTCGTCGTGGCGTCGCGCGGATTTCGCGCGTGAACGGCAGTGCTGCTTCGACGCGGCGCGTGCTCCTTCTTCGCTGCCATCATCGGGCACCTGATCTCGCGCAAGAGGGCTAGATGGCGCTCTCGCTGCAGGGCCGCGCACGGATGTTCTTCAACTTGCGCTTCCGCCAGTGCGTGGCCCGTGTGTTTTCCCTTCCGCCAAGTCGTCAGAAGTGGGGCCGCGCGCGAACACCTTCCCAGTCCCACTATCAACTTGTTGCTTCATTGGTTTGTATTACGGGAGGGTTGGAGGGGTGGGGCCCGTTGACCCGTTCGAGCTGGTTATTTTCACCTTCCCCCCTTCTCTCCTATTCTCCTTCCCTTCACCTCTTCGTCGTTCTATCCTTATCCTCTTCCCCCTCCCCCTTCGCCTCAGTCACTGCTGCATTGCGTTTGATTGCTCTTTTGTTGCTACGTTGGGCATGTGTCTGATGAGGAAGGGTAGCCCTGGACGCGGCCAAGCTCGGAACCCCATGACCTCTTGAGATGCATCCTCCGAGTGCTAGGGCCACGCTTGAAAAGTACTTAGCTCCTCAGAGGGAGACGCTCCGTGGTTTCAAGCGTCGCTGTGCAACTTTGCCCCCGGCTTGAGCAGCTGTGTCGCCCTGCCCTCCGTGGCTTCGGTGCGGCCTGTCTGGAGGCCCTGCGCCCTGGAGGGAGTGCCACGAGTTTTCGGCTTGGGGCGGCCCGCTCGCTCTCCCAGCCTTCGCCTTGAGCCTCCAGCCCAGATGCCAGCGCATCATCGCAGCATGCCTGGGCATGGCCGTGCCTGTGCCTGGGCTGCCTAGGCATTCGCAGGGGAATGCCCACGCGTGCAGCCACGGGCGCGTCCGTGGACGCAGCTGGGCGTAGCAGACGCCTGGGCATCGGCTCGGTGATGCCTCGGCGTCCAGCCAGCGATGCCTGGGCATCGGCAGGGTGGCGCGCGGGGTGGGCATCGCAGGTGCCAGGTGCCAGAGCCGCTGGGCCGTGCCGAGTGTTGGCTCACCATGCCGGGTGCCCTCGCTCATAGCATTTTGGCGGCCGCACCCTGCAGGCTGGTGTTCCCGTGTGGTCGACTAGCTTCTGCTACACCTACGCGCTTCGTCAGGCTAAGGCTTGAGCCTAGCGCGCGGGGGGCGGAACATATATATATATATATATATATATATATATATATATATATATATATATATATATATATACACATATATATACATATGTATAAAAGGCTTGAGCCAGTGTCTTATCTTCCCTCTTTTGCTGCCACGCGGCCCTCCTCCGCTGAGCCAGGCGAAGTCTTGAAGATGAACAACATTAAGCCCGTGATCGTGTTCGACGGGGCCCGACTTCCCGCGAAGGTGCCGTCGTTCTGCTGGGCCGACGGTCGGTGGGGGCAGGCTTCGGACGTCGCCGGCTGACTTGGAGGCTTGAGGGAGTTCGGGGCTTTTTGGACAATTTCTTCGTTCGTGGGGGCTGCATGAGACTCCTCGTCTGAGTCCCCAGGGGGCTCAGGAAGGCCCCGAGGCGCACAACTCGGCGGAAGATAGTAGCAAACAAAGTAAGTCCATACGGAGCGCTTGGTCTCCGTCAGGACTTGCTCCGTCTGGACTTAGCCTCTCCTGATCAGCAACCTCGATCTTCGGGCCTCCTCCCCGCCTTTCTCTCTTCTCCCTCCCTCTCCCCGCCCCCCCCCCCACTCGAGAGGAATGCGAGGGGGCGGGTTGGTTTGGGGGGTCTGGCGACAGGCCAGATCCCGAGGGGTTGGAGGGCCAATTCTATCTGCTCCTAGAAGGCGAGTGTCTGGTGCCGATGCCGAATACCGTTCTCACCTTCTCGCCAAAGGCATCTATGCACATTGGGTGCCGTCACGTCCTTAAATGCATTCGGGTGGATGTGTCTATGGTCAACGCGTCCGTTGCGTTCGGCGCACTAGAAAGTCGGAGAAGGGGTAGATCCGCCTATGTTGTGTTTTTGTTCCAGAGCAGGTCCCACAGTGAGTGTACTCCAACCGAGGTGGAGCCCGGGAGCGGTCTCCCCCGTCTCCCATTCTGTCTTCTCCCAGTCCCCCCTCCTCTCTTCCTCTGCTGCAGTGCGACGGCGATCGGCGACTTGCAGTGCGGCGATGAGCTGGGCATGCGGTGGAGTGAGTGGCCTGTGTGCTGGGTCCGGCCCCGCCGGCGCCATCCGCCTTTGCCGGGCCATGGCCCATGCAGGTCTGCATCAGGCCTCTCCGGTTTGGCGACTTCAACTTAAGGTTTTCCAGAGTCGGCCGTTTGGGGCGCGCAGGCCAGGCGGGGCCAGGACCGGGATAAGTCGTTCCAGAGAGTCCTGGACGCTCTCAGAGCGTCCCGGAGCGCTCTGGAACGGTCGTGGCACCCGGCACATCCATCATCACCTCCGGATCTTAGCGATCCCCGATCCCCGATTCATCCCTGTCACATTTCGTCCAGGTCCTGGTTTCGTCGTATACTTGAGCGTCCAGCTCTCGCCTGCAGAAGTGCCCCTTCGCCCCCCTTTCCCGCGGCCCCCGCGCGTGCGGGCACGCGGCGGCGGCGGTGCTCGTGTCAAAGTTTTTTTTGTTGCCTCCTCCTCCTCCTCTTCCCTCCTCCTCCCTCCTCCTCCTCCTCCTCCAACTCCACCCTCCCTCCTCTTCCCTTCTACTTCCCCTTCCCCTCCTCCTCCTCCTCCTCCTCCTCCTTCTCCTCTCCCTCCTCCTCCTCCTCCTCCCTCCCCCTCCTCCTCCTCCTCCTCCTCCTCCTCCTCCTATCACGGCTACATCTCGGGCCTGGTTGCGGGTACCTGCAGGACTTACCTTGCATAATCCCACACGACTAGCACCGACACTGAGTATGTAGGAGTCATTTGGGCATTAATTGCCATTATACGAGACGTGGAAGTTCGCGATGCTACGATCCACTCTGACTCGCTCAACGTTGTGGACATGCTGGACGGTCGACGGGTGACCGACACCACGCAGTTAGCCCTCGTAGCTCGCACACTTTGGGACTTTGCTCGTCGGGGTCGCTCTCTTTCCATTCATCATGTTAAAGGCCACGACGGACATCCCTGGAACACCCTTGCTGATAGGCTCGGTGTCTGGACCGCACAGGGGCTCTTGGCCCCCTGCAGGCTCCCTGAGGAGCTCATTCAGGTCACACAGTATGCGAGAGCTCGAGAGTGGGAATGGTTAAAAGGGGCCCCCACCAACGAGCAAGATGCCTACCCCAAGTTCACGGATGGTTTTGAATGGACCCCATTTGTGCCTGTCGCGGCCTAGGCTCACATCAGAGACCCCCCGTCACTCCCCCTGCCCAAGAAGAAAAATGCAGTGAGGCATTCTCTTAGACTGGTACAATAGAATGTCAAGTCTCTAAGTCAGAAAGTTATCTATGGCACCAAGGGTCGACAGCGTCGCTTTCGCTCGGAACTAGTAAGGCTCCAGCTGCTAGATATGAAGGCGCACCTCATTGGCATGCAAGAGACGCGTAACCCTGCTGGGATTCGCCCATGCCGAGGTTCCCATGTGCTCTCATCTGGTATCTGGCAAGGGAGAGTCTGATGAACAACGCGGATCTGGAGTAGAACTCTGGGCTAATTTGCGTGAACCTTATGGCCAAAAAAACGGCAGGGCATTTTTTCGCAGTAAACACTTCAGGGTTCTTGAGGCTACTCCTGAGCTTTTGGTTGTTGTTATTCGGGCGCATGGTTTCTCTCTCGCTGCATATGTGGCACATGCTCCCCATTGCAAGTGCGAAAACTCTCTCATTCAGGACTTCGGGACCAGGCTAGGCAATCTATTTGACAAGCGCCCCCCAGACCTAGTCTTTATCGATGCCAATGCCCGTCTTGGCAATATTCCGACCAGTGTTTGTGGCGGGGAGGGCTTTGCTCAAGAGCAAGATTGGCCAGGGGAACTTTTTTTCACAAGGTCTGCGCCGATGTCGACGCACCCATTCTCAATGCGTTTTTGGGGAACCCCTCAGACTTCACCTTCCAGCATCACTCTGGGGAAAGTCACGGATTGATTACATCGTCTGGTCACAAGGTTTTCTTCGGTCGTGCAAAAACATCCTTGTCTGTCACGATTTCCAGACAGGACTCAAGGGGCCTGATCACTGGCCTGTTGTGGCCGATTTTGAATGGACGAGTAGTTTTTCTTTCCCCTCAGGGCGCGGCAAGCCTCTGGACAAGGCTCGTCTAAGAAATCCCGACGACCAAGAAACCTTCTGCTCATTAGTTGCTGATACCCCACAGAGACCCTGGAGCCTAAAGCTCAACCAGCATGTTGTTGACGCGATTCAGGATGTCAATGAGGCTGCCCAGAAGGCCTTTCATGTGAAGGCCATCCGACCGAGGCGCCCCTACATGAGCGAGGCGGCCATGGACGTTCTCCGACCACGGCGCGGGCTAGCTAAAACGTTGATGAGAACCCAGTTGAGGGGGGATCCTGAGTCCCAGCGTGCTCTTACCGCCCTCGCTTTTGCTGTTGATCCAGGCAAGTTTTCACTCTTTGAACCCTCGGCCCGAAAAAATCAGCGGGGACATCTTTTCTCGGCGCTCCGCTCCCATGCTCTTCAGATACCCCGAGGTGTCAGCGATTGTTTTTTGTTCTCGTGCCAAGTTCGAGCGTTCATTGGTTCTTCTGACGCCATCTTGGCCAACATTATTGAACGTGGCAGGTGTGACTTCTTAGGCGCTCGAGCTTCTGAGGTCAAAGTTTCCATTGAATAGAGGTTGTGTCAATCTGAATTGGCTGGCCGCAAGAGTCTCCTGAACTGTGGTGGGCGGGGTCGCCGTCCTAAACAAGCCCCCCCCCCCCGCTCTCTCTTATTTCAGACCCCGCAGGGTGAGGTTTTGATTGATGATGTTGATGTTGCCACCCGCATGCAAGAACACTTTACTGCAGTCGAGCTAGGTGAACAGGTGGGCGAGCTTGAGCTTGTCACATCCTACAGTGCCCTTCCCCACCTTGTGGCAGATGATGTTGACAGAGATGCAAGAGTGCTTCCCTCCATCTATGAGACTGGGGGGCTATTGGGCAGGTCCAAGGCTGGCAGGGCCCCTGGAACTGATGGCTCCAAAGGGGACTTAGGTCGTATTGCTGCCAGGCCACTCGCCCGCATCATAACCCCCATCCTCTGCAAGATTGCCGCTACTTGCAGGGGGTCGATTGCCTTCGAGGGAGGGCGTCTTGGACACTTCTGGAACGGCTCTGGAGGCCCCGCCAAAGTGGCTGCTATGCGAGGCATCCTGGTATCCCCTGTAATATGTAACCTATATCGCGCGCGCGTTCGTGGGCTTGCGCTTGACTTTCTGCATGCCAGCACGCTTGAGATACAAATGGGGGGAGGGGGGGGGGGGGGGGGGGGGGGGCTCGAGGGGAGGGGCTGTGATCTTGCCGTTCGCGCTGCTAGGATGCTCGGGCAAGCTAGTGACAAGCGCAAGATTTCATAGGGGCTCTGCTTTTGGATCTTGCTAGTGCGTTTTACACCGCGACCCGCCAGCTTGCCATTAGCTTGCCTGGAACGGAGGACGAGCTTGCGGAAGCTCTTGACAACCTCCCCCTCCCCCCCACTGTTGCTAGAAGGGGTTAAAGCCCGGCTTCAAGAGCGGCCTCTTTACGAGCGGAGAGTTGATCGCCCCCATTTGATTGCCGCCACTCAAGAGACACAACGAGGCGCCTTCTGGAGGGTATCCCAGGCGCCATCTTTCACCGCACCCTGCCTCAGCTCGAGGCCAGGAACCGTATGGGCCGCCGATGTTTTCAATTTCGTTTTCAGGCGCGTCCATCTGACAATCGAAGAAGCTGTGCAAATGGACGGGACTCCCTCGGATATCCTCGGACCACTCCCTGACGGCGATCTCACTTTTGCGACGCCCGCAGGCGTGGCCAGACAGGATTTTGGAGTCTCATTTGTCGACCATCTTACTCAATCTTTTATCGCCCAGTCTGCGTCGCAACTCTGGACAAGGCTCGAGAAACTGTTCGCATTGTCTTTGCAAAAAAAAGCAAGTTGCTTCTTGCATTCAGGGGGGAAGGCTGCTGTGCAGCCCGCCTCAAGGAAGACGGCGCGCCACGCAATATGGTCTGTCTCGACGATTACGATTTTGAGGTTGATATTGTGGGTGCTCACAGGGTCCTGGGATCACATTTGGCAAGCAATGGCAGTATGGCAGCAGAGGTCACGACCAGATGTCAATCTTCAGGTGCTGTGCTGCCCCCCATCCGCAAGACCGTGGCCCCCAGGGCCATGCTGCCTGTTCGCTCCAAAATCATATATGCTGAGGCCCTTGCGAGCTCAGTTTTATTTTACAACTGCTGTGCGTGGTTGCAGCTCACCTCTGGATTAGACTCCAA